TACAGAAGAGTCTGGCGCCCGTTGGGATGGCCCGAAGCCCATTCTGCAGTAAGGAACACAAGTTGCTGATTCTGAATTGCCCCTCGTAGAACACCAAACGGGACACCACACAGTCAAATTGCTACATAGCTAGCTGATTTAGTTTTTAAATGTGGAAACATCAAAGAACATCGAATTGATTCACAAAATTTCATCAAGAGTCATTGATTTACAATTCTACAACATGTGAATTTTCAAATACCTAGTAAGCAACTTATTCTTCGGCAAAAGGCCCAATTTTTTTCGGAACATTTATAACCGTTGTGTTTTGGGCGCGCTTAAATGCAACGCATACTTGCTTCAGGAAATCTCTAAACGGATGACTGACTTCCCTTATGAAGTTTAACTTTAGAAATATGTTTATTTGCATCTGTTTGTTGTTCGGGGACATATTCTTTTGGTTTTACAGCTTTACAGCACTCTAATTTGCCACGATTCCACTCGAGCAGCGTCTATTATTTATCTTCATATTTATTTTGATTCAAAAAGAAACTACCTACAAATGGTGAATCTAAATATTGCATTTGTATCAGAGGAACAATTAATCCTGATTGATGTCTGTGGGAGTGGATTCACTTGCATATTAAATGGAAATAAAGACTTCCTAATACGAACCGTATGTGATAGGTATTTTGCACATAAGGAGGTATCTGACAAATGGAGCATTCCTTTGAGCTTAGTGGAAGATTCGTTTGGTTCGAATTATCGGTTAGATACAGTAATTTTGCCCCTGGAACAATGCATGACTTCTGCATGTTTCGATGTAATAAACACAAAAAGTCCGAGGTGCTCAAACTGGAAAACCAAATTCCTACGGAATCGCTTTTTCGCAAGAGACAGTTCGAAACGCTTGCATGTTGAGGTGACAGTAAAAGGATTAAAGCCAATTCAAAAGCTCCGAGGCTTAATGCATTGTCACCCCTTTGCATAGGGGTTGCATACATCTATATGCACTGCTAACGGTTGTGCAAGCACTTAAACAGGGCTGTAGCAGCGAAAAGAATTTAGTAAGAGATCAGTAGTGCGAATGAAATCAAGCATAGCATACTGGTAAAGTTAACAGAGAAGGCAGACCAGATCGAGAGGTTGGGGAGAAGGGAAGTAGTGGGTGGACAAGGCTATGATAAAAAAGGTGCTTATGATTGTGGCGGGTCGGAAGGTCATAAATGCAAGTTGGATTTTGGGGAAGAGGAATTTGGGTGTAGGCGTTTCTTAGAGATCTCTTCGACAGAAGACACGAACTCAGCGCGTGTCTCAAGGCCACATAGAAAATCACAACGCCACTGGATAGACCTACTCAACCTATAAGTAAAGAAAATTCCCAAAAAAACGGATGAAAAGTCTACGCAAATCATAACGCATAAATGTCTGTGTTAGCAAATGCTGCAAATAATTTCTTGTCAACACAAATGACTAAACTATACCGCCTCTCAGCTAAGTATTACACGATTGTAATATATTCTCCACCCCAGTTATGCATAAAAAATAAGCTTAAGAACGGATTTTCATCGGTAACTTATCTTCCACATTCACTACTTGGAAATCATATTATGCAGCTAAGTTGTCTCAACTTCACTTTCGACTAGACAACAGGCCCTAATTCTACAAGACTTAAGGGACCGGTAGCTGTAATAAAAGGTCGAAACTGTTGTTCGAGAGTGATTTATTTTGGTGGTAGAAAGTGGTAAATCCTTCAAATTCTGCCTACAAACAAATTGGTCATCGTTGCATGTGGCCTAATTACCAACACATCCATGTGATTTACCGGTAGGTTCAGAGGCTTCTTCTGACTGCTCTCTTTTTCGGCCGCTATAGCAGCAGCGTCGACCGCCCAGGGATTGCCGCCGTTCACGGCAGAGGGCACCCTCGCGGGAGGTGTGGGGGGTAGGAGGCCGCCGGAAAGCTCCTCCTGTCCTCGAAAAGGCTCAAACAGCAACTCCATCGGATTGTTTCCCTTCCCTGCCTGGTTCTCCGCTGTCCTACCGAAGCACTCATCCACCCAGTTGCACGTAGACACCTATGCACACATCAACCCCGACACTTCGGCCTCGCTTTTGAAATAAATGTACACAAGAGGGACAGCTTTAATTACGGGCTCACTCACCTTCTCGTCATTCGGTACTGACGATCGAGTGGCTAGTTCCAAAAAGCCATCTTCGCCACCCGGACTGCGGTAGGGCATTTGCAGTGGAGGAGGAAGACTTAGTGAGTTGCTACCACCAGGACTAGAGGAGTTCTCAGTACCCGATAGCCGTGTACCGTTGTTAGCGATCCCACTTCGGCCCGACTGCAACGGGGAAAGACTGGGGAGTTTGGGACTTCCACTAAGGGAAAGCTGTCCCTGCACTGTGTGTCCTGAGGAGGAGGTTTTTCGAAGCGACTGATGCCGAGAACCAGGACTCAGCATGTTCTGCACCATTGCGTCCAGCTCTGCAAGCCGCGAAAAACCCTCTGACTTTGACCCGGAGTAGGTGGATGGCTGGGGGAAATGAGATGATGTCCTCGGTGACGCGACGCTCTGCAACGCAGATTTCTGTTGTGATACAGCGTTACATACTTTTCTTGGATTGGCAAGCTTAAATTTCGATTACATTGTCATAATAAACAGTTTTAAATAAATCCTGAATAAAACACTGTGGTACAAGTTTACATCTTTTAGCAGGAAAGGCATGGGGTGTGCTGCCGACATTTACTTACAGACACGCCGTTGGAAACTTTGGAAATTGAGGTAGCAGGAGGAACTGGGGAGAGATTTTCCAGACGTTTTAACCGCAGAGCCATTTTCTGAAACCCTTCAGAAAGATTCCTGTTTTGGTTGAGGAGCTGTTCGATTCGATACTAAAAAGAGGTAGATGCCATGAATGGCCGTTATCGGTGGTATCGATGCAGTGTTTTTACGGGATTTGAGGCATACTTGCCCTTCCATACGCGCTGCAGCCTCCAATCTGAGTTGCCTCATTAGCCGATGGACTTGATAGATGGCTATTTTGGTCTCTGTCTCCTGGATATTTAGCTGCCGCTTTAGCACATCGAGTGTTTCCGTAGACAGAACTGTCTCACTGTTGGCTACCTTTTCTTCTAGCTTTGCTGAGTCAGCCGGTGTGGAGGCCAAGTTGGGAGCGGTAATTGAAATCGGTATTCCCATGGTAGGATCGCCGCTGTTTGATGCCTCCTTCGAAAGTTGGTAGGAAGAAACTGATCTTAGGTCATTTTTGCACGTCCTAGTCATTTTGGCTCCTAGAATGTCCAGCTGCCGAATGAGAGAATCGTGCGTCTCACTTAACGTTCCGACACGTCCACCCTATGGAGAAGTGTAATAGGCCAGCAAAGATTATTCCTTACCAGATATGGAACCCATGACATCGAATCTGACTGACGTTGCTTTTCTTTCGACACAACCGGCTGATCACTCGTTAGGCTACCTTGAAGTTCGCTCAACAAACGACTAAGTAGAACGGGATCAGGTGGAATACTGGACTGGCTTTGCACTGAATGTGTGCTACCTAAAAATAGACAAGTTTGAATTTAATAAATCATGTGCAGACTGAGATAAATAAATCATCACTTACTTCCACACAAAATTTCGCGTGCAAGATTTGTATCAAGCGACTGACTTTGCGGCAAACCGAAGAGGGGGAGAGAAATAGGTGTTGGATATCCTAGACCATGCCCGAATCGGTCCCATGCTAGGAAGTCATCGTTGGTGATGCTCTGCTTTATGTGCGAACGAGGATAACGACGTGGAACATCAGAGCTGTCACTTGAAGCATCGCCATTGTTGCTGAAGGCACGATGACGACGCCGACGTAGGCCAGAAGCGGCCTTCTTTACCTTCTTCAACGTCAATGGAGTGATGGGTTGCTTTGAGTCCTCGTCAGAGGCCTCCTCGCTGTAAATGACGCTCCTCGCACGATCTTCCCTTCCATTCTTCCCAGGGTCCTCATCGGAGCTGCAATTCTTTCGTCGCGTCCGATGTCGTCGCCTGCGCGGCGAATGCCATTCGTTCTCGTCCGAGGAGTTCTCGCCAATGGGTGGTGATTGACTGCGGTGGTTCTGCTGTAGCGGTTTTCGACGGTGTGGTAAGGTCGTGTGAAAACTATCACCACCTCCTGCAGTCTGACCTTCGTCGCTCTTCTTTGAGGCTTGATCGTTTTCCTGCTTTTGAAGTGCCAGCCGATGACAGACGTCAAAAGCCTGGCCAACAGTTCGAACTATTCTCATCGCCTGCAACTGGGCGAAGAAGACGTTTAAATCAAACTGTTCGGTGCATTAAAAGTGTATAGTCAGAAACCCAAATAAACCATTATTTACAATGTTAAAGCTAAATCATATCGATGAAGTTGAATAAAACGCATTATCCATATCAGATTGATGTCATTTCAGTTGGAGAGGAGACCCTAAGGCTAACACTGTTTGACTTTAATCATAAGGTGCCCAACTTTGTTTATGTTTTCCACTGGTAAGCTACTTCGACGCTTTGATTGGGCATAAACTCAAAGTAAAACAATTATGCAGACTATGCCGCTTTATCAACTCACTTTTTTATAAGCCTTGAAGACGTAGCATTTGAAGCAGCTGCTTTTGCCATCTCTAGCAATATAGCTGAATATCTTCAAATCCTGAGAGTCATGAGAGACGTAGAAAATTCTGGAAGGGCGGAATAATAGTGTTTTTTTACAAAGAGCAAATGTATTATTTCAAGCGATCGCGCCGATCAGGCACTGGTTGGAACCGCGCATACGTTTTGCAAAAGTGCTGTCTCATCATTAGTACTACTGAGTGTCAAATATCTAGTAATTATCTAGTCACTACGACTATATTGTTGGAGTCAGGTCTAAATGAATGGAAATCGAGGCTTGAATAAAAATTCACGGGCATAAGCGGTATTCGAGTAATTATGATTTTTAGGTAATTATTAATGCATAGAAAAGAAACCATTGAATTCGAAAGCGTAGGAAATCCACCTTCAGGTAACCTGATCTCCCTTTGTACAGTTTACACAGCTCGACATAAGTTAAAGGCGATTCCTTTTGGGATCACAGCTATTATTGCTTTATTCGTGAGAATTGCACTATTATGGTAGTTAAAGGGTACTTGAATGAGGTAATAACGTTCACGACTTATATTTCGGAGAGGTACAAGTGCCGTTTGAATTTGTATGGACGCGGTCTATACTAGGCGGATTCCACCAATTCTAGGGGTGTTTGAGAAATATTTCGAGACACTCTTGTTTACTCAACTGCATTCTTTGCACGACCAATTTTTAGGCCAAAAAATACCATAAAGGTCCTCGAGGCCCTCAGAGACCTCACAAAATTGCTTTTAAACATTCTACGAGGGCTATGAAATCACCGAACAAGGCGCATTTGAAATTCCAGGCCATTCATACTTTCTGGTTGAAAGTTATTGTAAAATGTTAAGACCCAAAAAACTTGAGCAAAGTCGTGGCACGAGTATCGAGGTGAGACATGGTTTTGGTGGGATGAAATAATAGTGCTTCTTTTGCAAAGACCTTGATATAAGGCGTTGAAACTGTCGTGTTTCAAAAATATGGCTTTGAAATTTCTTAAAGTCTATGGAAGCTTCCTAGTAGAACAAAATTATACTGACTTCACTGCAGATTTTTGAACTTTTCTGATCAAATCAGTGGCATTAGTATTGACGGATGAGACCAACCTGTAGATAGGATGGAAGAGTATTACGTTGGCGGGATGTACGCAGGAGAGGGCAGAGGCGTTGCGCAAACCCAAGCCGAGAAGACCGCCACCGTTGCTGCCACTGTGGCAGGAGGGAGAGGAGGGCGTCTGAGGCCCGCCAGTCCCACCAACCTCCATGTTCATTGAGGTAGGTATTTCTATAACAAGGACAATCACAGCATCCGCTGTCAGTAGAGTGCTCTTTTTCTCGCATTTAAAGCAACTGCATTCCCAACAAGGGGTATTGTGAACGCAAAAGGGCGCTTATTTTGAGCATAAATTAATATCCTCTTGCTCTCCTTTTTTGAACTATTAAAACCTTAAAAACAAATGTTGTAAGATTTAAGAAGTCAGCTGCTCATTTTAACCTTTTAAGGGGAACAAAAAGAGCTGTTGAGCTTGCCTACATTAAATACATCCTCAAGAGGCTGAGTAAGCTCCCTATTGCCTAGTGCAACAAAGTACGGAATACGAAGAGCTATAAAAGAGATGTCAACTGCCGCGATTGTTCTACTTACGACGTTTTCATACCATAGCCGAAAACAATGCTTGCGTATGTTGATAATGGCTCTCCATGCTACCTTCCCGGAAGGCATTTTAGTTTACGTATACTGAATTAGGTGAAACCATTTTATGGCAAAACCATAAGTGGCTTGCAATAAATGCTGAAAGTCGGACTTTTGAAGGGGTAGAAGAATCCATCAAAAACCACTTTGTCATAGCGATTAAAACTTTTTACATTATGCAGTGATAACAGGTAGGCCGTACATACTTTGTGTCCGTAGGTAAATTTAGTCAGATTAGCTCACCAGTAGGGACTGGAGTAGTCGATCCCGATATTTTGCTTAAGGCAGAAGAGAGCCTGGTTCCGACCTGTTGAAAATTTAGAATATGCTAATTGACTCAAAAAGTGGAATTTACTTTTGGTTTCTAAACCACTGGATATGAATGCTTGATAATTAGAATACAATAATAAAAACGTAAAAATTTGCTACTGTCAAACTTTAATTGATATGAATGTACAGGGTATGCAAAAATGCCTCATGCAATGGCATCGTTTCTTCATCCTCAATTCAAAACTGTGTGTGAAACAACGCTAATGCATGTTTAAGTACTGCAATCAGCCAACAAAAAAATTAACACGGAAAGACTTGCCACCTTTGGTTTGTTTCTTCCGTAAACATAGACACCGTCAGCTGACACTTTAAGTAACGCCTTCTGTTTCTTCACTCCTTTGGCTTTGAACTCATACTAAAGATGTAACAAATGTGCAAGGTGGAAGCAAAGGGGGTATCGTGCTTAAATATAATACTTTCGGAGATGTTACTATGTAAGAAGAGAGGACCTTGATTGTAGGTTGGTGTTTTACCAGTTTCTTACAAAGCTTTAGATAATCTATAGGGTGGTAATGTCTGAATATCGAAAATACCAAAACCGAGGCCTTAAAAATAACGATTATTCATAATGGCACGGACTTTATATACGTATTCAGTTGTGCTGATTGCAGTGTGATTAGGAGAAAGCCGAAATTTATAGCGTATTTATTAAGGAAATGATTTTAAAGTATTAAAGAGTCCGTCATTACACTTCTGCAATATAGCCTAAAACTACATTGTGGAATTTCACCATTGACATACCGGGTGTCTCGTGATTCCATCATAGTTAGGTACTTTGGCGTTTCATAAGTGCAATAATTAAGTACTCCGAAAGGTCTGTAGTGATTTAGTTTGAAAAGAAGGCAGCGCATTTCCTTTCTGATAGTTCAGAAGACAATCCTGATTCAAAGTCATTATATTTAAAGGCCGGAACAGAAGTTGTATTACGTAAGTGGCTGAAATTTAGTTTTCCGCCTACAAAAGTTAGAAACTTGCAACTTTTGCGGAAGTATTAAATTTATATCTAGTCCGGCTAAGTGTAGCACCAATTGACAGGATGCAAGTCGCAGAATTGGCAATTTTCTAATTAAACTGACCTGAAGCTGTAAAGATTGAGGCATATTTTCTAGTCAATTTCTATCATTTCTCAAAAACCTATCGCAGTTTATCTCACAGTTTGCAAGAGATGTGCCGACTATCGGGGTAAATATTTGTTCCAGTTGTGAAAAACATAAGGAAAATTCATTTATTGGATAAAAATTTCGAGACTACACTAAATTACGTTTGATAGGATAAAGGAATGAAATTATTATGGTGTGAATTTGAGCAAAAAACAGCTCACCCGAATGCGCCGCATGGAGGAGACGATTTCTAGTCGATTTTGGGGTCTCGGCACTTCCATCGCTCCAATGAACTTAAACGAGATGCCACGTTAAGGCCATGCACGATAGAACCACTTTCAAATTGACGCTAAACAGCCAGGCTGCCAATATTCAGGACAATTTTCAGGGGAGGTTACAGTTTGCTCATTATAAATAGTTCACTAAACTGTCAGAAAGATGGCCCGCGTTCTGTTAATCTTGCACTGCTCTTTCAAGGAGGATCGTATTCATTTAATCCAGCGAAATGGTTAATTTACTATGTCTGAGAACTCGGCATAAAATATGCAGATGCAATTACGAATTGCAAAGTACAGCAAACAGACTTACCGTAGTCAAATATTCGTAAGTTAATGGACAAACCACCCCAGAAAATTTTAACATTTTTCTTGAAGATTGAAACAAACAAATCCAGATATAAATATGTGCACAGAAATATTCAAGTAAGGATGTTACTTTGATAAGTTAAAGGATTCTCATTCGTAGTAGCTATTAATATAACAAATGCATTAGATCCTGTGAGTGAAGAGTGTAGCATTCGGTTATTTGTTTGCCTAGAAATAACTTAAATATCAGAATATTGCAATAAAACCTTTTTGAGAAGATTGAAGGGCTTCTTTTGATAGCCCTCCCGACGCCAGTTACAGGTAGCCTTAAAGGGCATTATGCCTCAGCGAACACGGTAATGTAAACGCCCTGCTTAGTGATGAAAGCGAAATACTATCACATGCGAGTCGTGAACTCAACTTGAATAATGCTGCTGCAGTCGCCATAAATCCTTAATGGGCAAAATAGATGATGGTACTTTAATGTTGATAGCCGGAGAGGTGGATGAGAATCGAAATAGCTGTATTAACTTTGTCAGAAGATAAATCGTGCTTTGAAATACATTTTGCCCAAATAACTTTCTCCGCCGACTAGTTGAAGTAAACTGGCCGAATTATTAATGTTCACCTTGCCTCTTGGGTATAAGTGGTTAACATGACTGTTGAGACTTTGTCCCACCACATGCTAATAGACTCCTGCTAAAACGAAAATCAGGTTTAAGGCCAGATGGCTGTATGCCATCTCTTAACTCCGTGATTGTCAGTGACAGTGAAGTAAAGTGAGAAAGTGTTTGAGACCGCAAAGGGGGACTGTAAGTCTGTCAAGAATGGTATCGGAAAAATGTTTGAGGTAAAAGTTTATTTTGGTAGGGGAGCTGAACTGTCAACAGTCAAATGTGAAATCCGTGCCCTCAAGTGTACGTGATTTACTCGTACGACATGCTTAAACGTGCACTTCACATGATCTGCCATTTATTAGAAAAAGCGGCCGACACTGAATTAGGGCTAAACTATGACTCCAAGCCTGTGTACTGGTATATAGATGGGCGGGTAAAGCGGTCAAGCAATTTTAACAATCCAGCAGATTACTAAAAGTCAACAGAGAGCTGATCCAGTAAAGGTTTTGGGGCACACGACCCCATCCACCGACAACTCATTTACCCTATTTCATAAACAACAACATCTAGAAATTATATTAGCACCAAAAATCAACTTCATTTTAGTGCATATGTCCATTTATCTATGTTACAAATTATTCCGAGTTTTAGACTTAGTGACTTGAGCCTATTTCTCAACCACTGTAAGCGCATTTAAATGCCGAAATAGAAATTCACAAAAGTCTATTTCCTTGCCAATTTCTCCAAATGGGCTCTCTTGCCCTGATATTATAGTTTAGATTTTTTCAAAAAAGCTGGGACAAGTTTGTTTATTTGTTCATTCCGTTCCTAATTTTTGGCTACACTCCAAAACACCACCAATTTTTTTTCAGGAAGTGAAAATGATGGTATTTCCTGCTAAACAACCATCAAGATTCACATTAGCTATCTTAACTAATAAAGAGCGTAAATTTCACCAAGCAGCTATTTGCTATTTCTCCTAGTTTATTTGGTAGCACAAATTGCTCATAGGAAAATTGCCCGGAATTGCATAAAATTTGCCACTTCATTCCTTTAATCGTGCTGAATGTCAACAAATGACAATGCATTGGAAGTCTGACGCAAATAAAAACTATAGCTTTTGCTCTTAAGCCTTTAACGGTCACGAGTTGCATGCATTCTTCTATATTCTGTATTCTTATAATGTGTTCTGTATTTTTTCTTTATGGCACAGCTTGAAGCTTATTAAGAACCCTCTATAGTTTTATCTTCTTCTACCTTAATTAAGGTTTGGTACGTCTGCTAATGCAGCTTTAATTGTTCAAATTTTCCACCAAGTGACAGGTTTCTCTTTTTCCTTCCTACCATTGATAACATTTGATGATGTATTTTTAAACGGACACCTAATATGTTCAGTCGCAAAAACTGCATGTCCATGCCACATCGCGCACGTACTTACAAAAGCGCAATCTTTTCCAGTATTATCTACAGGTATCAACTTCTGCCAAATATTTCGAGGTCACATAAGTTTAATCTGAGGATTCCTTTTACAAATAAGTAAGCAGACTCAGTCTTTCCGGCAAAAAGGAAAATTTTAGAGTTAGCTCTAAACTGAGATGTGGTGTGGACAAATCAGATTTGAAGAAATCACATTAGCCTAACGTCATTTCCGCGAATTTTATTTACTGCTAACTCGATTTTGTGCTTTGGATGAATACAAATGTTTTAGAGTGCCATATCAAGCCCCAAGAACCTCTGAATGGAGGACTTGAAATTAATCCAATTTTGTTGGTATCTTGAATCTTATTCTTGTTGTCAACTTTTGCGCATTTCGGTTTTCGTTTTATTAACATGACTGTTAAATGCCCAACTGTAAAACGCTCCAGCTTCGCATAGGGAAAATTTCAGCTAATGGATTAAAAGACTCAGACCGTTCCTGTTAATAGATCTCCAATTTTATTTAACAGAAATATCTACCTGAAAGGAGAGAAGCAGAAAAATAAGACATTTGCTGAAGCTCAAATTCCGCTTCCATATATTTAACATTTGGCTGTGTGCATCACTTTTCAAACTTTCCTAGCAAGCCAAGACTTTGGATTATTTACTTTGAATCAAATCCCTGCGGGAACGAGAATGTATTTTGACTAAAGGCATTACTACCTCATGTCTGGGAATAATGGGGTGTGACTAACTACCGATGACTGCAACTATGGAACCACTCTAAGTCAACGCAGTCGATTTGTTAGCTAAAATAAAACATCCACTGTAATTACATGATAATGAAAATGAACTAAAAGGTACCATTTATACATTGAGCACGATGGCAAAACACCAGCGTCAAGGATGTATTTTGAGAGTGAACTGAGATCGCTTCGCTTCGGGAGAAGAAGAATCACCCAGGGACCTTTTTACAGTGGCTCTTATTTAGAGCAATTCATTATGAAGAAGTTAACCTCAGGCTTGATCCTCTAATGCTGGTACATTGGTATGCTAGATAGGATTTTGAAAAGCAGAGCAGAACCCTGGTGTCAATTTTACCACAGCAGCTGCTGTTGTTGTGAGCTTCTGGATGTGAATAAAGCGCCTACTTAGCGGAGGGATGCGTGCATCGCGTCGGACGCGATTCCGCTCGCGTGCTACTTCGTATTATGTCCTGCTGGTGGTGCTCGCGGGGCGGATGCTAGTGTCCGACGTATCTCTCAATTATTCACGACTCTTACACACCCCAAACTATGGTTGTGCTACACGTATAGAAGGTATGGTAAACACCGAAGGCCATTTCCAATCTGCACATTACATCCATTGGAGGAGTGAGGTGTAAGTGAGTGTCCAAATTAAAAGGGTAAGTTTGGATTCATCTTCTTATTTGTGATCTTATTTGAATGTGACATATGCATGACGCTGGACTTCGTTCAACAAATTAAGCACGTACTTGCACCCTTGATTTTCCAGAATTAGTGTTTCCTCCAGACAACATCTCGACAATCTAATCCATTAGCTACCTTATTTAAATTTACACACTTTAGTTTTACGACACTGATATCATTTAAAATGTGCTGGCTTAGACCGGTTTTAATGATGCGATTTTAACTGAAAGACCACTTAGTTTAACTGTAACAAAGTAAACGAGCTTTCTCTGAAAAGTGAAGTAAAAAGACTGACAAGTGTTTGAAGTTAAAAAGTGCTCTCTGGCAGAAGAGGAAACTGTCACAACGATAGCTCTCGATCACATTTTTCCATAAATCAACCCTAATCACTAGCACGCTTTGCATCACACTTTATGCATATTCACAAGTGGCACTTTTGGGAAGGAAAAACAGTGCCGTCACAGAAACAAATTCAACATTATGAAAAAAGTCAGTTACGGTAATACACAAGGATGGTGTATTATTCTTGGTCCGAAATTTGGTTCAATGAGTGGATTTTATCCTCGTAACATTGTTTCGGAAAGAATGATGGGTTGTGAGAAGCATAAATTATTCAAAATATAAAGAAGGTTGAGTGTAGTGACTTTGGTGTGATTGTACAGAGGTCTGAAAAAATGTATGACGAAGCCTCAAATAAAGAGCTTGAACTGCCAATAACCCTCGATGTGGAGAGGATAATTTTCGTCTAGTGTCAGCTGCCGCGTGTGTATTCCGATTAATGCGTCTTTTGGATGGCAAGAGAAGAAAGCAGTAAAAAGCTCACCAGTGTCGGTGTTGGTGCGTGTGTGCTTACAGTGGGGCAGAAATAATAAAAGCAACACAGAAAACTGTCGCCGCAGAGGGTGAAAGTACGAAGGTCTTTCTACGAGTCGTGACCGATAGCCATTACCAAACAGCTACACCATCCACCGCAGCAGAAAGACTGACCGAACAGTTTACATGTAGTTGGTGGAGCGAGCACTAGTGGACTGTTTTGCGCTCTCTTTAATTACCCAAGCCATAAGTGCACAAAAAATGCAGTCTTGGTTGAACTAGATTGCGAATGCAAATGGGTAAACTTTACTTCCTTGCTTTTTTCGTCACAATTTGAAGTTCCGCAATTTGATACATTAACCGCTTATCACAATAATGTGCAAACCAGCACCTAACATTTCCTTTACCAAAATTTACTTGTCTTCATAATTTCAACTCTCAGTTCTTTTTATGCGCCAGCAGAACTCTTGCATCTTGTTATGAAAATTAGTTTCCCAATCCAAATTCATTATGACTGGTGAGGGATATGCAAAATCATGGTTAAGCTGTGGTTGTTATAACCTCTCATTACCACTTTTTCTGAGATCTAAATTTAAACTCAGAAGCAGCCATCAATGAGAAAAATAATATATTTTGATGGAACTTAGCTTTTATGGAATGATCCTTTTAATTATTAGCATTTCACCAGTTTCATTTATTTACCCTCACTGTAATAACATTAACTGAACAGAGGAACACGATTGTTCCTCCTATCGACGGCAACAATATTAAGGAGTCATAAATTGCTTAAGCAATTTTCAGGGAAAATTTTATTTGCTAAAATGTCATTTAATAAGGGAAAATGTGTATTTCAAGTATGGGATGCATTCAGCGATTCTGTGTCTCATCCAACTGGGAATTCATTGATGGGTCCTACAACTAACTGCATGATTAGTGGCAGCAGAGGTAGCGAGTCGTTTGTTCGACCATTGTCCGAACAAATGGAGTGTGAAGGCGTACAGTTGTTCGCATGACCATGTGGCTGTTATTGTACTTCTGTGTGGTGTGACCAGATTGGGAAATCGTCTTCATGACTAAGTTAAACCACGACTGTCTAGGCTTGTCAAGACTTCTAAGAAATTTGTAATTATCACGATTAATAACAAAATGGGTTTTTGGATAGTCAAAATGAGATTACCCTAGCTATCTCTACTTTTTCACAATTCCCACGCTTTGATAGACTAGGAAAAAAATTTGCTAGCCACAGCTTAATAGGCAAACAATCGTAATGCTAATGAGTGTTGAAATGATGCTTTCGCCAGGCAGTGACAACATCATTCAATCACCTTGATCGATAAACTCGCGCAATTCCATCTGGCTAGACGAAAAAGAAGGTCCAGTGCTCGAAGTCGATTTAAAAATGATCTCGAAGCTCACTGCGAATTTTTGGCCAATACTTTTAGAATGAAGTCGTCCTGTGATGCCCAAGGATGAAGCAGTAAAGGGAGTGAGCTTTACGAGTAAACCACCCACTTTGCGCGGAGCGTTCATACACAGGCTCTATTGTCCTTTTTAATTATCTCCACCCATCACCAATACCAATTTTCCACTTTTTTGTTCTTTCAGATAACGTTCATAACCAGACAAACGTTTGTCAACTGGGAAAAGATATTTCTGTTTGATAAACTTTGCTGCTACATAAATTTGTTAAGTGGGTCACCTTCCAATAAAAAGCGAAGCAGAAAAATCAAGATAATGTAGTTACTGGTTGTACATTGGCACGACATCTGTCAAAAAAGGGGCATCTATGCCTAGTGTAAGAAAAAACAGCTCACAGCGGGTTTTTTACCCACTTGAATGCCACATGGTTCCCTAACAAATAAGTGAAACGGAAGACTATTAAATCGAATTTATCTAAGTCCTTTTAGTAGGTCATAGGAAATGCGATTGCAGATTTTTTGACAACTTGCCACTCCCATATGTTCAGCCAATGATTTGGTAACTTTATTTGAGCTTAAAGGTTTTGGCTGTCAAACTTGCCTACTAAAGCCTACTCGCATGTTGCGAGACAATAGTATACACTCTTGTAAAGCCACTTTACCACATCATTAAAATGCCCTAATTAGTCTTAAAATCCAGTGCTATTAGTGCCTGAAAATACTTTTAAGATCTTTACGGAAAGTTTAAGAATAAATAAGGTAATTGCTGAAATAACAGCAATTCTTGAAAGACATTTGAAGCGGCACTTAGGAGTCTGAAGGCATTGCATCAAACCAAAATTTCCTTAAAATGTGTGATTAAGTTAGAAAATAAGTAAAACTCCTAAAGTATTTCTTTGTTTTCCAATAGTAATGAGAATCCCAATGAGAGAAACTCTGTGTCTGGAACTGGATATTGGAGCCTCGTTCCTTAAAGCTTTCGTGGGAGCGATTTGGATGTTGTACGAGACACCAAACTTAATAGTATGCCCAAATGAATTATGTAATTACATCGTTGGCAAGCACCAGATCCATTCCCCCCAATATAAATTAGCCGAAAAGTGCAAATTACAGCGAGATTCATGAGTCTGCACATTTGTATTTCAATACTGCGCTGTAGGTGTGATGCATTATTCCGTAGAATGGTTGATCTTCACTGTGAGGACACAACGCGGTGTAATCGCAAAAGAATGCTGTTCAAATTTTTATTTTCACTTCAACTCAGTATCTTGCTGTTAAAAATGACAATATAAATTAGCTGAAAAAATTGTATCTTGCAGTGCATACGGACTTCTCGGGGGAGGACGCGGATAAAGGATTTGCATTCTAAGACGTTATGAACACCAACTGTACCTTTCAAAAAAAATTAATTTCATTCTAGAAAAGGTCATACGCGCCTAATGTATGAATAACTTATAAGAATCGCAAAATCCAGCGGAGTAAATTCTCAGGTTTACACTCTCTAAAAAATCGGCACTGTTTCCAGAAATAAGCTGGTGTAAAAAAGTGAAAATCCATTGCATGGGTGAGTGAAAGTACATTCGGTTATGGAACTACAAGGAAAATTTTTAACGGAGGCCCGGTCTAAAACCGGTGTTATCAGATTTGAGGTAGGGCAGTGCTTTTCCTCATGCAAAACAAATGCAAGATGCGTCAAATCTTAGCAATGTTTCTTCATCGCTGTCAGGTTTCAGGACTACTGGTAGCTTCTGTCCCTTTTTTGCCACTGATCACTTATTTTTTCAAGATTTAATGAGATTTAAGATTACAAGAAGCAGTCTATCATAATTCACCAAAGTGTTTTTGTAATTACTATGTAGTTAATGCAGTGGGATTGTTTTAAGCATAAGCAAGAAACTGAAGTGAAACTAACATTAATTTTATCACTACCTCGAAGCTGGCTCTAACGTGCAATCGCAATAACTGAAAACTTTTAGCAAAAAATATTATTTTTTACCTTAACGTTAGTACACAGATCGACAACAGATACAGCAGAATCGAATGTCTCATGTGTTCCCACAAAGTAAGTAACGATTTGACAGGTGCACCTTAACAGCCGTAGTTAAATAATTTCCTGACTGTATGAAATAAGTCGCTGTTTCACATTCTACCTCCACTTTCATCAGATATAAATGCAGCTTACGATTTGATCTTTATAATAAAAGCAAGGTCATGGGTATGAAGTCAGTGAAGCGGACTAAACATACCTTACAACAAAAGTGAATACCATGTTTAAAAACCTCGTCACTGTATACGGGGACCCGAGTATCCAAGCCGTCATCCAGCATGAAATCATAATTGTTTCTCCTGAAAGGCATTGCTGTGCGTCTCTAAGAGCAACGATGATCAATGAAAGTCCATGTGAGAGGTTGAGTTTGCACGCGCTGTCCACACAAGTTAACCTGTCAGTACACTCGAAAAATGTTCTCTACATGCTTTGTCAACAATTTGTTTTTTCCCCTCATCCATGTATTTTCCCATTTCACGTATTCTGCTAACACGTGGTTGGCTGCCTGTCGGCCAATCACCTCTGGCCAAAAGATACTGTACCCACTGGCGCAAACTAATTATTCTCTTGTGACACGTCGCGCATCATTTTTAAGGAGGGGATTCTTGTGTTGCTCCGATTCCCTTAGGAGCTAATGTAAGAAGTCTCCAAGTGGACGAGCAATTCATTTGCCTAATAGTTTCCGCACCCAGCTCTTAAATTTTTAAGCAGCTATATGGAGACATTGTGTGACATTGAGCTTTGGTTTTTCTGATTCATATTATAATGGACTTTCCAATCTTTCCCTTACAACAAGACTTTTCATAGCACATTTTTAAGACTTTCCTGGTTGAAGCTCCCTCTATGTAGCACAGTGGCAATGTTATCGTTGTTCATCAGAATTGCAATCCTGTGATTTGCCGTTTCGTGAATGATAGTGTGACCATCTAAGACGCATTATCTTTTTTGTGTTCCTAAAACTATGCTTCTAGACACGCTAATAGACGGTTTCGTATAGATTGCTGTGATAGTGAGAAGAGTAAACTCGGTTTTTAATTAAAAAATAATTCAAAATAAAAGTCTTATTTTTCGCGCAAAAAATCCTCATCAAGCAATTAGCGTTATTTGACCAAATTTTCGGTCTTAAGACAAAAAAAGTTTTTACCTAACTACCTTCCCAAAGTAACTCTATCCAGGGCAAAATGGAATAAGTTGGATTATAATAAAAGTGTCGAGACCTATTTAGGCAACATTAAGTAATCACCCTTTGGCAATAAATGCGAAAAAATGTAAAATTTGCAAGTCGGTCGGTAAGATTGAAACACATTCCAGACGAATTTGCAGTAAAAATAAAGAAAACTCCTCCGTATAGCTTTTTGCTCTCTAAGGAGGGGAGTGCTGAAATGGGGGATATGTGCACCTCCTCTTTCCTATTCGCATAATAACAACTGTTTAAAATAAAGAAGTCAAAGCTGTGAATTTGTGTTTCGATGCCGCCTCTGTAGACACGAATGCAAAAAAAAGTACGAGACAGGGATAATGTTGAAACATTTTGCACAAGTGTAGAAATTTCTACTCAACTCTGCTGTTCAACTGGGGATTCTATCAAGTAACAAACTTCGTTATTTACATTATCTCCACAGAAAGTGATAAATTACTGATAAGCAGTTCGACAAGGTGAACAGATAAGTAATAATTTCCGGCAATTTCGGGCTTGGACATTGCTATGATGATGACAGCATCGCCACTGGCAAATAAGCCTAGGATGGTAAACTCCACAGAAAATAAATTGCCCTTTAAATTGCAAAACTGTCAAAAACCCCAGCATTTCGTCAACACACTACTGCTAGACATGCCAATAAACCAAATATCGTGGACTTTTCTGCCTGCGGACTACTCTGAAAGTCCACACTGAAACTGAATTTAAGCATCATTTAAGCTATTCAGGTCAACGTGTTGCAGTCAAATGAAAATAAGCAAATCAAAAGCCAAACACATTGCTCATTTCTAATAGACTTACTTTATGAAGCAAAAAATCAAAAGGATGTGATTGTCATTTGCCTGGATATAAGTGCAACTGAAGTGCACCACCGAGCAAAGTGAAGCCACCTTCGCTCATGAAAGCGCATTTTCTTGTCTTCCGAGTACCATTCGTGGATTTAACAATGTTTGGACTTAATAGGAAACCCGTTTTATTTGGTTCATTACGAATATCCAAATAGTTTATACTAAATTCTACCAAGCTAAAGAGCTTTTTGCCATTGCGTAATAAAAACTCGAATTTCGTCTTTAAGTCATCCAGTGATACTGTTGCAGGCATATTGCCCCGCCTTTGATAGGCAGTGGACTTTATTCGATAGCTTATAATAATGTGAGGTGCGAAATAATTTAAATATTCCTTTTTGCCTTGATTAAAAGTTTCAAAACTGCGCACATGTGGTTTTTGACTTCAGAGCTGCTATCATAGATATTGCGAATGTATGAACCAACTGTCGTTCATTTCATGCTCTTCTAGCAATTCTATTCCATCTTGCACTAAATTGGCATTATTTTTGGGCGAAAAGTAAATCCCATACATAATGTATTAGTATTCGGAAAACGTATGTTTTCTCTACCTATACTTGAGCGTGATTTGCCTGTTCAGAAATGAAAAAAAAATGCGAAAAAAAAAACAAAGTTTCTTCTCAAATAAAGTGCTTTTACAAGAAATGAGCTCTGTGGCGTTTGTGTATTATTTAAATAACTTACTCTGCAGTTGATAGCAAAAGGTAGCCTCTATTTGCTCTACCTATCCAGCTCTACTTGATGCTTGAGCTCTTACCCGACCAGCCACAAATAATTTACTACACTTGCGGCTTCGCCTTCTATCACAAGTCACTTATCAATGTCCGGTTTTCTAAGGATTTGTCACATTTATGGGGGGAATTTTCAATAATATAATGAAATTATTCTATACTTTAGAGCTTAGCAGCGCCCCCGGCTGAAAAACAATATCACTATACTAAGATGAGATGCCTATTTTTCAATTTTTTATTCTTTTCATCAGAAGAAGCGTAAATCTTTATTTACCGGTCACCTTATTAGCACTAGTTAACAGCGATTTCTTAAGCTTGTGTGCAAATCAATTCAGGAACAAAATTTATTTAACAAAACTTGCATCATTTGTAGCATTTTAATGCCTATCTTGTAAGTGTACAAAGATATAATGGAGAGTTTCGCAGTTGTGTACAAGTAATTGTTAATGCTTGAAACATCAAAGGTTTCATCGCTTCACTTCGACAAACTGTTCAGCATCTAGTTTAATCCGAATAAATCAGTATTACAAACTCCTGTTGTAGAATAGTCATTTACGATAACATCCTAATGGAGCTATGTTATAGCAGTTTAAACTTTTTTGGCAAAACCGATTCTATGTGGTTAATTTTGCACTACTCCTCATTACGGAAATGAGACATTTTAAAACAAAATACTCTGCATAAAATACACTCCATTTTTGCGTTATTGAAAGTCTGGGACCAAAACAGCCTCAGGGAATGCAACTAATGGATCGACTGTCCTCTAGGCAAGCACCCACTAAAGCCTTAAATAAGTCGAAAATTCCAAATAACTTGTTCCAAAACTGAGCCGAAGTTCATTGGCGTAACCGAATAGTCACATGAATGACTGAGCCCTACCCAAATTTCACCCAGCAAAGGGAGCTCATGCACTATCTGATAAATTGATCTGTGGCTTAATAGGCGAAAACGCTGGGGCACGTAAAAGTGATCGCATCGGGCAATAAATCCTTCCATTACTCCCGGTCTCCCAGTCCCTCCCACCCTCTTCACTGCCCTCCTCCCCGGACCCCTCGCTCGTAATCGCTCTCATCCCTGAGTCCATCCAACCCACCGACTCTGCGAAACCTTTATGCCCCTTCCAAAGCCCCGCGTGCGCCACTGCGAGCTTCGCGCTCACACAGTGTATGAACACACACCCACCGTAGGTGGTTATCACGAGTTCGGATCGCCCGCTTAGATCGCACAAGAACGCATTATTGTCACAAAAAACTTTGACTACGCTAAATACGACAACGCGAGTCCTTGAACTGCATCGAACAAGCCTGATAGCAAAAAGTTGTTCAGAAATGGATGCTATGGTTGCCAAATCCGAAAAGACCCAAAGTGACTATCTTATAAACTCGAGTCGTTTGTCGAAAATTAATAACATATAATTGTCATTCATTCAACTACCTTTCATACCAAATGTACGTATTATTGGACCACCCATTCTACCTGCACTATAATACTTTCCTGACCGTAAAATAGGCACACTTTATTGTTTTTCTTCGAATCACCATAGATACAACAGATAGTAAAATTTACTAAAAGATAAGTACAATCTTTTTGCATAAGTAGAAGTGGCGTAACTGCCATCCTTGTAAAACCTGAAGAAATGGCATGTGAACATACTACCTCATAAACTAGATGTATCATCAATTCGCTGTCTGATCACCTGATATTGAGGCTCTTCAAAAAAAGAATGAGAATAAATAATAAAGGCTTTGGAAATATTTGATGCAGTCAAATTTAGTTAACTTACCTTTGAGCTCCTTTGTAGAGACCACTATACTTCTGTTGCATGAAGCCTGGGGTAATTCAGAACTTCTCATTTTTTTACATTAATAACATAAATTACGCCGACACTCACATTCCACCCACTTGTGTGAATAGCCGTGATGTAGGTCGCTTGGTAGTAATCTATGCATGAATGGTAGCAAATATGAGATATTGTGGATGCGCTAGAGCCGCTGCGATTCCCCACAAAAACGAATCTAAGCAGTAGCTAGTTACAAGCTTCTCATCCCCTAAACTGCTGTACCTTCCAAGAATTTCAACGTTTGCTAATTATGGAGAGTATTTTAGGATCCATGGTTCTAATATCAGTTAACCCGGCGTAGTGGCGGGAATTTTGGATGGGGGATGGTTGGTGTAATTAATACTATTTGCAATTTTATCGTGGTGTATTTGTGTGGAGCTTCCTTTTGAATTTAAAAACCTTGACTAGAATTCAAACTTTTGAATGGGACATTTTCACCCATGTTGATAAGAGATACTTCATTAACTTATGGAATACTTGGAAAGCTGACTAATTATGATTTCTCACACGTTTAGAAGATATGCCGTTTCCGTGAAGATTGGGGAGTTTTTGTATTTTTTGCAACAAAATATGAAAGCCGACTAAAGTAGCTGGATGGTTCCTGTAGAATTTTCCTTAAATATTAATGGACCTACTTATATTTATTTTGACTTAATAGCTCTTTAAGAAATAAAATTGCTTACTACCTTTTTAAACCTAATGCAGAAAATGCAAAAATAACAGTTGTTTTCATGTTACTGTTTTACTTCGAAATTGAAGATGGATTTTTACAGGATGGGTTGATTTTGTTGCATGCGAAATCAGCTAATGAAAGAATACCGTTTAAAATCTAGAGCCGGTAAGAGAGATTCTGCAACATCTTTTCAATGACACAGATACACTATCCCCATCATGATTTACTCGTGTGAGTCATACCAATACCACGTTTTGAACTAAATAATTAGTGAATACCCAACTTTATGTTAATTTGGGTAATTTCCATTCATTTACTTATTTAGGGAAAATAAGGTTGATTGAAAATTCATTTCGGCATTATTGCATACGTTTGTTTCGTACACATAATCTCGTGTGCCTAATTGCCCGCTTTCTGGTATGCGGTTTGGTGTTATACTAATGAATTACAGCAGGCAAGGGAGGTGCTGTGAACTGAAACGCGGTCCATTGCGTGATTGAGCCTACGCACAGGTACAGCAGCTCCTCGCTGAAACAATGCTACAGTGTAATTTATGCCATAGATGCCAAAAGGCTGACAAATATCTGCTGCAGGGCATGCGAGTTTACCCCCCAGGATTATGCAGGTATAACACCCTGCATAGTGTGGCACGTACGAAGGGGGTGAACTGTTGCAAACGGAAGGCATTTGATGTGTGAAAAATACTAAAGCCCAATTGCTATCTTTCGTTTCATATTCCGGCAGTTGTTACGATAGTTTCGTAGTTAATTTTGCAACCTCCAGGCAACGGTTACAAACATGCACGAAAATTCATTTCTACCTTTCGACAATTTATGTAATTAGTTAATTCGTTCTGCGCAAGCCATATTTTGGTTCATTCGTAGAGAGATTATTTACCGTCAAAGACTGCTCTCCTTGTTAAAATGTGGACAAAAAACCCCCCCTTTTTTGATTTTTGGGTCCTTTAGGTGTTGACCTTGTAGCTACTGACATCTACAACCTTTCATTTTATTGAATGTTATCCACCAGCTGCTTCTGCTAGACGTGTGAACGTGCGATCAAAACTGCCTACATGTCCTTTAAAGTAGAAGAAGGTTCAATATTTGCGACCGAGGTACACAAATGGGAACTTTGTCTCATTTGGTGACAGCTTATCACTTCCTAGTTTACCTTTTTAACATCATTATTGAACTTCATCTTACATTGTCAAGTCATGGAAAACTATTAACTTTAGCTTTTCACTTCTACCCAAAGGGAACTTTTTCAATAGCTTAAATTTTCAAAAGTGGTCGTCAATACACCATGTTTTCACTATTTACGAACTGTGGACATGAGAGCCTGTACAAAATCCCGAAGACGACTACGTCTGCCTTCACTGTCACAGCATGTGAAAATGTCTCCATATTGCGTGCTTGCAGTTTGTAGCTGAGAACAAAAACCTGTATCTAACTTTCGTTTTTAAGATTCGGTTGACCTAAAAAGTGTAAAGACTGATTTGTCTGTATTTCAACAAAATACTTTTTCTCCAAAGCACCATCTTTAGGTACCTTCACTCATTTGTGGTGGTCGAAATTTCAAAACCTAGAGTATATTCTTGCAAGGCACTTTCTATTTCCTCAAATAATTTTTACCGGCTCTATTATATGCAACTGAATTGGCCATTTTGCTGGGTTAAGTCGGATTAAATGTACAACATGGACGAAACCGTTACCAGAAATCGTCTGTATGTGTGATAGTACTAGTCATAAATTTTCCTCCGAGAGCAGCCGGTAGTTTATGTCTTACGAACAACTGCATCTGCGAATACATGAAAATATATTTGCTTTTCTACTGCATGGAATTCAAACAAGTTGTTCCTACAATGGTGCATTTTGCCTTACTACCCTTCACTAATTCTTTAATATCTGCATTGAAGCAGCATTCAGCTGAATCGCAGATGTAAACCTTATTGTTATGCAAATGGTCTGATCAAATGGATTTGAGTCAAGCTGTCATCTGTGACTCACTGGGAGAGATTGTTCACAAATACCAACGAATCCTGTGATGACGTCTTTTATGAATCCATAAAACTTTTGCAGAATCTAAGAGGCTAGTCACCATGCTCTATGAGGCACCGTCGGAATTCTTAAACTGCGACATGCTAGATAGCATATTTATTGCTACAACTTATTGCTACGAATGCCTCAAAAACGCAGTGGAACTGTCAGTTCGTGGTTTTACAAAAGTGATAACACTCACTTCTCCGTTCTTGGTAGGTGGCTACTACAGACGTCGGGGAAAGGCTATTAAATGGTTATCGTTAGGCATTCTATGGAAGTAAGCGTAGACGAAGTTAGGAAAATAGCCATGAGTTATTTCCAAATGCACCTGCACTTTGTCTTTGAGCATTGCAAGATTTGCTTTGTCTCTTTGGTGAATAGTCAGTTTCAATGAAACCTAATGTGAGGTGGTATGATATGGCGCCTTGGATTAAGCACGAATGTTATAGATTTTAGTCATAGTGAATGCGTAGCAAGAGCACATTGGAAACCACCTCTCCTTTCTTTAAAATAAGTAAAGTTAATATCGGGAAATTTAAGGGTTTACGTTGGTTATTAGCAATACATTTTGTAAAACATAAGGCTAAATAGGCAACTGAAGTTATTTGGATTAAAATAAGGAAAACTCAGTGAGAAGACCCACATGATTTCGTCACCATATGCCCTTGGAGAGTGTTCTGTAATGCTTCATTGTTCTTATTTTCTACGAAATTTTTAATGATCTCATTTTTTCCCTTTGTTGTTAGGATTAGAAGAAATTTGGAACGTTTAAACTTTCTCATTTGAATTTAGATAAATCATTACCTAGGCTCAGTAAACATACTCACTTGGACTCTTTTTTGATCTTGATGAGTGGAGTCGCGTCCTGTGGTTATAGAGCTCAGCTTCAAGAAGCGAGCTAAGGCGGGAGGTTCAGTACCCATCACAGCTGTTGCTAAGATTTCATCCGACAAAATTCGGAATTTCGTGTCCGCATGTGTGTGAGCCGCCTTCGAGGAACAGCTGTTTCCATATCTAATGCGCTTTCTTATAGTCAATACACACACACGAACACAAACACTTTCGTTTGTGGAAACCGTGTTTCGTACCGTTACCACTACTGCTATTACTGCTGCCTCCACTGCTTAGAACATGCTGACGAAAAGAGGGCGACTGTAATGTATTTGGTACTGACACGCAACGCAAGGCATAATTGAGAAAGTCAGAGAAAACTTTGTATCTGCTGTGCTAAACAACTTGAGTGAGGAAATATAGCTAACAGTCCTTCTATACTGTTTCATTTAGGAAACCAGCAGCTTATTTACTAGTTTTAGTAGTTTAAATTTAATAACATAATTTGAATGCATTCTATGGGGAAATTGTATAGAAACATAAATTCAAAGCAACCTGATATGGCATAAGTTATTGAAACATCTTAACACGTAGAATAAACAGCTGCCGTCAGTCTAGCGGTAGACCGCTCCTGCTTTTAATGGGGGTAGCTGGGATGGCCTTTTCCTCTCTCACAGAATTAAATTGACTTCAGTCAGATTTAATAGTAAAAGTCCCCACAATATATGCACCTAACCCATAAATTCCACATATTCTTCTGATAAACCTAGTCGATAGGTGAAGTCCGACTTGCGTAAAATAGTATTGTTTCATAAATTCCTCATTACACTACGCTTTACGAACAATGAGGCACAAATAAACAGCCTCAGTCGCTTATGCAGCAGGCCCACACTTAATGCTTAAGTGGTCTGCTTTAGGACTTGCGAGTAGGTAGTGCAAAATAATGGATTCGGGCAAAACGGTTTCTTTGATTAAGTCGTTTTCTGTTCATTAATACATACTATTCCATTGCCATGCAACCAAACTTCGGAGAAGAGTTTTATTTTTCCCCACTTATCCAGTATTTACAAATACTAAATCTTTGCCAGTTATTCTACGAACTGTTCATTATAAAAAGATAATTAGCAAAAAGTGGGGCTTTTTAGTCACGGATATTCACTTTAGCCATTTTTAATTTAAATGCAGCTCGGTTACCAAAATCACTATTTTAAAGTGTCTAAATTTCTATGCTATCAAGTAATCGTTCTTGAAAAGACAGGCGCATGAGCAAATGTCGTCGGTGATAATCAAGTTAGGTAGCACCATGATTTAAATTATTATTTGTGTGCTTTACATTGCTTATTTGTTTGGACGCTTGGCGTAAATGGTGATAGAAATACACCTCCTAAGGAGACGGGTCAAATTCAACTTTTTCCCACATCTATACTCATTTCACTGGATCTGCATTAACAATGTAAAGCTATGTGAGCTATTAAATAGGTGAAGAAAGGTGGAACATTAAATCGCGACAAATCTGTTGATTTTACCTTAAGCTCAGTCCTTTAAAATGGGAACTGATATAAAAGCCTGCTTCATGTAGTGCTTATAATATAAGCGGATTTCATCCAACTGGACAGGTTGATATTCATTATGTTAGTTTGCCAACATCCGTTATTTGCCCCAAGTTAGGGCGTTTTTGAGAGGTTACCTAGCATGCCATACTCACTTTAGTTGTTCCTCACTGGAACCCATGGACAAGATACCTTGCCGTCTAAATACACAACAGCATTCGATTACCCTTTTCGGAGCTGGAAAGTGGAATTTGTTAAAACAACAGCAAAGCAAATTTTCCAACACCATTCTGTTGCTGTCATAATGCAAATTTTTCATATCATTTGTTATCAGCTTGTATTTCGCTATTGTGAGCTTTATTATATCACAGCATTTGAGACAATTAAACTATCCCGTAACCAATGGCTAAACGATGCCTTTGACTTTCAAATTTTTTCGAGCGTTTCATCTTTGAGCAAATATGGTCTATTTAAATAACAATTGAGGTAATATCGCTTAATCAACTTACGTCATTAAAAAGCTATTAATTCTAATGCCATCAAGCGTTGCCTGATAAGAAGCATTGGACGTTTTGTTTACTGTACTTCTGCATCCTAAATGCTGTTGTACAGAACTGTACTTGTGCCACTCAGACACGCATGTTAAATCAAGATCAAACGCGCCTTAGGGTTAAGTTAGGGTTGTTCGCAAGTCTGCCTGTTCGCTGCGAATGCTGATGGTGCCTCCGAGGCGACTGAGCTTCCCCGAGGTACCATCTGATCTAGAATTGAGCGCTCCGAAACATGGCATACAAAGATTGCCATTTTGGTATATTCGGCTAAAAACAAGCACTAGCAGTTATTCTTAGGAGTCTACTTCACACAATTTACGAATTTGTGAGATGACTATTAAAAGTGCGTAAAACATTTGCTATCTTTTTATATCCACCGACCACGTAAGTTTCCTTTCAAAATGTCAATTTGTTCACCGCTGTGCTTAATGCCCTGTTTCGAATGGATAGCGAACTTTGAATATCTCGAATTGCAAGTCTGAAAAATACAACTTAATAATTTAGTGCGTTGTAGCCGTAAAGCGCCCGATATTTTGTTGATGATTTCTATTTGACGTGGCCAGAACCAATCAAACTCAGTTGGTCTGAAGGAATAGAATCTGAACTGAAAACTTTTTATCTCATTTATCGACTGAGTTAAACACATCTACTAAAAACAATCTTAGCATGCACACCTACCAACGCGTGCCCAAATCGCAATCATTTTTGCAGTATTTATTTTACCTAAGTACTACATACTTTTACCTTCAACAGCTGCGATTTTGTATCAATAACTTTCATACATTAGCTGAATAAACAGCTTAGGCTGTAACTTCAATTGGTCAAAATTTAAATTGTAGATAGTTTTCTAGATCAAGGAATTTGGCGAATTTAGAACTCGACTAATGCACGGTTTGCGTAGAAGAGGTTCCCACCTCATTTGCGTGATTTCGCCTTATTTATCGTAATATTACGTGTGTTAGATACTAACTAGTAAAATAATCGTTTAAAAATTGGGAACTACTATTGACAGAGATTACAATGTTGCAATTTAATTGCTTCCTGCCATTTTACCATTTATTCATCAATCGAATTCCCCTGTCCAAGTGCTTGTCCCCTCCCTCTCGCCCCGGTACAAACTTTTAAATTATGCAAGAATCATGTCAAAAATTCTGCTGCCTGATTTTTAATCCAAAATTTTTGAAATAATTTCCCATTTTAGGTCTCGTATTAACGCCTAACAAGGCAACAAATGTTTTTTTTTCCTCGACGCTGAATCGCTACAATTAGGAAACGCCATTCTAGACTCCGCTAGTAAAGTGCCAATACATCATCCAGTAATGGTTTGCTCAAGCCCCGTTGGGTTGCACGTCGCCGATTACTACAACACGTCCCAACAGAAGGATCAAAGGGAGCAGGCAGCAATTAAATTTTTGTCTAAAAACTGTTACGCATGTCTACTTAATGATATTAAAGCCATTTTTGCTTTTTTTGCCTTTTTCACGTGGTTCTTATGCGTTATGGCATAACGCAGAGTGCAGTTCCGCTTAAATAATAGTTACTAACTACAATCATAAGTACATGATGTTAAAGTAAGGCATGGGATTGGAATGATACAGCTGGGCATAATTTCATCGAATTCCGTGTTTGCGATTATAGGTTGTGATAGCTATCGGCAACGCATAAAAATATGCGCAGCGACTTTTTGATTATTTCTACACATAGAGGTGTTGGAAATAATTGTCTTTTGCTCCTAAATCCTACATGTTGGCGGAAAGTTTACATGTTGTTCTGTTGGATATTATTTGGGTTGCATTCGTGTTCAACTTTTACCATTTCGGAACTACCAAAACAGTCGGAACTGCTGCTAGAATGGTTATAATGGAAGCTCGGCCACCTTTAAATATTTAGAATAGACTCCATAGTCTTTTTAGACTTTTAAATGCCTCATTTTTAGAAGATTTTAATTGCAAGATAATGTAAAAATATAGACTACTTGTTTGTAAGTAGAACGTCATTTGTTTTTTTGCGGAAATATTATTTGTGCAGCTTAGATTATGTCCTGTATCTCTCAGAAATTAACCCATGCTGTGTCTTTGAGCAGCCTCTCTCAAATCTGGAGCTGGAACAAGGCAACTTTCCCCCTTTTTCGTCTTGTCACGAAACTGTTGCCACATTGCATGTTAAGTACTGCGGGAGTAAGCTTGCCCCGACGCGTGAGTAGGAGAGCTATAAAATCTGCCTATTCCGTTTAGTGTAGCACCGCAGTGCGAATTGTAGCTCATTGTAGCATCTCTCTTTCATGTCTATTTGATAAGGCGTTGGTTCATTTTGCACCAAATTTTGACAAGTAAAGGTTATAACTCTTACAAGATTTTACTCGCTAAGAATGAGATTGTAGTGATATTATTAGAATGTTATAGCAAAGACTTGCCAAATGAATACTGCTCCAAGTCAATGGTAGTCGAAGGGATCACCATCCCCAAGTCCATTTTCGTAAGTAAGCGCACTCTTTAGATCACCTTTCCTTACTTTTAAAGATTGATTGCGGCTATATTTTACCAATTAACCACCACTTTACTTGATTTACTTTCCAATTTTTGCCACAAATAGGGATATATGCAACAATGATTATTAGTCAAGTGCCACATGAGTTTTTAACACTTTCGACTGGTTGCGTTGGTTTGTAACAGTTTGTATAAGCTACCCATTAACCCATCTACCCTTATTCGTCACTGCGTCCACAAAGGGTCCAGATTGGCCCAGTCATTCTATTTTAAGATGGCATGCCAATAAAGCTTCATAAAACAGTGTAATTTGCAGAAGATATTGTTAATAAAGAAGAGTTGTGTTATTATTCCGAGTACTATGTTTTGTTAGGTGACT